AGTTCAGCTTAAAGACAGTGAGGCATGACCTGAATCCCTCTGGGCTAAAAGCTGTGTTTTTGCTAGTGATCAGTTCTTTCCTGAGGTGTTGTGTGGAGTGATTTGTGATCTTGTACATTTATGGTTATTACTTTATTAGACGTAACAAAACCTTCTCAAATCTGCACTACTTTTCTGTTAGTAGTAATTCTCCATTTACAGGATCCGGTTCCCTCTGGTTGGAAGGGGTAACCTCGATATCCTTCCACCTTTTTAGGAGAACATCTTCTGAATTAATACAACACATGCTCAGACTCTTGATCTGAAGATGTTCATATTTTGTTTAAGTTTCTCAGTTTTATAAGAACTGAAAACGCTCTAAAATGAAGAACACAAAAGATGATGATCTGAGTTTTTCGGTCATAGAATGGCTTTAGTTCTTTTCAATACATTAAGCTTTTGTAAACAAAGTGGAGGTTATTATTGACAAATCCTCTTTGGTGTAACTTGATGAAGGAGGAAACTGATCCCAGCTGGGGACCTGGCAGGTTTCAGGAGAATTAAGTTTGGATTTTGGTACATTTTTGAGCCTTCAGCTGAGAGCTGCCCCTCCGCCTCTTGTCCAGTCCGTCTGCTGGAGGTGTTGCTATGGTTGTTTGGGGCGTTTTCACCCCTTCCTGAGACTTCCTCGACTCTTACCTACTTTGCATTTTGGCTCTTGACCTCTGCCGGTCACCGTGGAGGTGTGTGTTGTTGAAACATGCAGCAAACACGTGGTCTGCAGAGGGGGCGCTCCCACCATGGTCATTACATGAAGAGGAGGAGGCGGTTTTAGCTGCAGTGGCAGCAATTTGAGCCGCCTCACGCCCTCTGCACGCGTTGGCCACGCTGAGTGTAAACACAGGGCCAGAATATTCAGGTTACAGCTTCACAAACGTAAACACGTCAAATGTGCTGCCCAGTTAGTGTCCAGTTCAATTTAAGACAAACAGAAAACAGTGGATTCAATTCCAGATCTGTCCAGTTATTCTATTCAAACCCTGTTCCCACTATGGAGAGAACAAAATTATTTTCAATAGGAAGAAACATCCAACAAAACCAGGAAGATTGGCTGCCAGGAGTCCTCTCAAAGTAAATGAAGAAGTGAAGTCCCCACAAGTCCATCTTAAATGTTTGTGGTCAAACTCCTGGGCCCTAAACTGCTCTGTTTAGGATCTGAATAGTTAGCTTTTCCCTATCCTTCCTCGCCAGAACACTCCTAACATGCTCTGCCTTTATTCTGATCCTCCCTGCTGGGAGTTCATGTAAATGTAAAAGCTAGCGAACTACAAGCTGTGAAACAAGATGGCGGCCTTGTGGCTGTAAACAATGAGCCGCCTGCTTCAAACCCTGTTGCAGGGAGCAGGTTTCTGGGCTGAAGCTGTGTCAGCTCCTCTCGTGGGGCGGGGGGGGGGGGGGTTTCTAAAGTGTCCAGCAGGTGGATTGAAGCCATCAAACAGCTCCAGTGGTTTAGGGTCGCCCCCTAAACCACTGGAGCTGGTTTGTCCCTCCAGCACGGAGCTGCTTGTCTCCCAGTCGGGGGGGTTAACTGTCTCCCCATGAGGTAAAAGTGAGTCTGAGGTCACAGATGGAGACAACTCCCGCCGACCTTTGACCCGGGAACAAGCTCTGCCTGCTAGCTGCCATGTTGGGTTTAGAGTTTCTGTGGGATCTGGGTCAGGCTGCAGGAGCCCAGTGAGGGCAGAAAGACCTAAACCAGAGGACATGGCCTCCGTTGTCTTCATCTGGCCTGCAAGTGAACCTGTTTTTGACTTTTTCTGAGAAATGGCTTCGTCCTACCGCTCCACCCGACTGCTTAGTCTTCCTGTTGGAGGTCTTCCTGTTTTTTTCTTAACACAGGTCGTTTCTCTAGTTAAATGTACAGAAAGATAATGCCCTGCTCAGGTCTGCCATTGTCAGGTTGTTCTACACTTTACTGCTCAAAATCTTCCTTTTATGGAGCATCAGAATGTCCTAACACATATTCACAGATGCAGAATAACAGCATGATAATAAAAGAAATGTCCAGAGAAGTGGGTAAAAGAACTCCATCCTTTCTCTGTTTTATAGGTGAACTATGGCAAACGTTGGCGTAAAGCCTCCACCAGGACAAAAAGCAGCTCTGTGATGATTATTTCCAATAATCAGGATGTTTACATCCTAGAATATGCTCCTAAATAGGCTGTTTGATATTGATCCCTGAGTGTCTCAGAGAAAGGAGCAAAGTAAACATAAACTAAAATATAAGCATGTTCACAGATAGATATATTTACTTTATTGATCCCAAGATGGTAAATGATGGTGCAGCAGCAATAAAAAAGCAGAAAGGTAAGTACAGCAAACACTAAAGAGCAGTGATAAACAACCTGTAGTACAAAGAAACTCCACAAAATACTGGGGGAGAAAAAAACAGGTCAAGAATTTTCTGGTGGATGGGAGTGGTTTCTCCTGCTCACGTGCTGTGTGCATGCAGCCTGAGTTCAGCCGGTCCACAGAGACCCTCCCCCCCCCCTCTGAGGCTCCTCTGCTAAGCTGTGTGAATGGAAGAGGAGGAGGAGGAGGCTGCCCACTGTCACAAGTTAGGAAACCTACTGGTGTTTTTCCACTGCCTTAACACAAATATGTTTTTCCTCCTGGGCTTGTGTGGGTGTGCAGGATGCATGTTTGGGCAGACGGCAGCTGCCCGGAGCATCCTCTGACAACAGTCAGGACTGGACCCTCAGCTCTCTGATGACAGAATAAATGTCTAATAAATAGCTCTCATGGAATGGAAACATCTAAGTATGATAAAGTATGGGGAAATGATGGCACAGGGAAGGCATCGGTGTTTCTCAGCTTTTCTCTTATTGGATTTTTATGCATTTGGTTTCTTTATGAAAGATCAAAACTCACTTTTCTTTTTCAGTTGTATGTCACCAAGAGCGTAAAAATAGCAGTGTGTGCTGCAACATCTCTGTCAGGAGTGTGGAGACATCTTCCAAATGTAGTTAATTAGTGACTGTTAATACTCACATTTTTACTAACTCAGCCCAAAGCCTGGAAAGTGGAGGATTCAAGGGTCTTACAGGGGACCAGCGCTCTCAGAGGAGCTAAAAACAGATTATTTTTTGCTAAAACTAGCTTCTGGGACAAGTATGATATTATTGTAGTGGGTCGGCAAAAGGCTGTGATCAGTATTCAAGTTGTTTTTTCAATTGGTTAATTAGAGTCTGGATGGAGGTGAACTGGTTCAATAACTTAAACTGACTAACTCGTCTCAACACACCTCTGCCTCATCTTGTTAGACCGGTCTAAAAACGGCCCTCAGATTAGTGTTAGACCTCCTGAAGCCTCTCCAGCAGCTCCCATCTGTGAGGAGCCTCCAGGAAAAGCTCTCCAGCCTCTTGAAGGACGTCCCAAAGCTCTGGAGGATCCATCCCTCCATCAGAGCTGCTGGGGTTCATCCACTTCTGGTTCCTCTGGCAGAGCGACGCCTTTCCTCCTGTTTCCTTCCTTCATGGCTTCTTACAGCCCCCCTTCATGGAGAGCATTTCTGCTTCAGCCACCAGGAGCTGGTCAGCTGGAGGTCCAGATGCATTTGTTGCAGTTTATTCACCACAAATATCACAAAGATTCTCTCATTTTTAGCAACTTTTTGGCAAGTCCTTTATCCAGACAGTCGACAGGGAAGGTCACAGGGCTAAAAAGGCAAAAGAAACTCCCCTAAATGCATTTACATTTAACTATCAGAAGTTGTATTTAACATATCACATGTATCCAGAAAACGTCTTCATGTAGACGTCATATTTCTGTTTGAAGAACTATCTGAAGCCGTTTCTGTTCCGTCTTTGGTGAAATAGAGCAGAGTAAGTTGGTGTTTTTGCACTCGTTTTTTGTTTGTGTTGGCTTTTCTGCTGAGGTTCACACAGAGATTTTGTGTTTGAGAGCACATTTAGTCCAGCCATGCTGGTCAGAGCTGAGAAGGATGGATTGTGGACGCTGGGAAGGGGAGGGGAGCGTAGGCAGGATCTGGACGTTTCCCAGCAGCTGAACTAAGACATTCTGTTCCCTGCATTTTGGGACGCGTCCTCCTGTTTTTGACCCGCAGCTCTGCTCACATTCAGCAGAAATGAGCAGGAATGTGAGCAGAGCTCCACATGTCTGCATCTGGAAGCTGGACCAAGTGACAGCTCACACACCCCCAGACGTCCTCACAGGACCCCGCCGGGTTTATGTCCATTTATTGACTTTCTTTGGCTTTAGATGTGACTTCCTGGTGTGATTTGTAGATTTAGAAGCTGCTTTTGGTGCTGAGAGACGTTTCTGGTTTAAGTAAAACTGGGAGGACGATCCCAGGTCATGCAGAAAGCTCTGCAGGTTTTTCCCCCATTCCTTCTAACTTTGTTGTGGAGTCAGCAAAGGCACTCTGATAGGATCTTTGTTTTGGATTTTTCACCTCTGATGTCTTTTCTCTTGTTATGTCTCATTTCAGCTCTTACTTGTTCCTCCTCCTTGTTCCGCATTTGTCTTTTATTCACTGATTTCTTTATTTGTCAATGTCCACGTCTTCCTCTTTCCACCACCTTGTCCCCTTCAACTTCAACTGTCCTTTTTTTTAGCACATTTGAGAACAACAACCTTTGACCAAACTGCTTCACAGGCTCAGCCGGTGATAAAAGCAAGAACAGAATACAATAAGTCAAATATGTGGATAACATGTCTGGGCTCAACATGAAAAGGGGGCTCTGGTTTGAAAGTCCACAACAGGGGGGGACTGAGCCTGCATCAGGGAGCATCTGAAATCATCTAGATGATATATAATGTCTATAATTTAAGAGCTAAGATAAAGAAACACTTCCCATTTAAAACTATTTAAAGTGATGTGTCCTACTCTGGAGTGACTGGAACCCCTGAGAGGCCGTTTGGTCTGAGTGACCCTCTGAGAGTCCTGGTATGGTCTGAGCCGGTGAATCAGCTTCTGCTCCTCTTCCTCCTCCTGCAGGACCAGTTCGGAGCAGAGGAAGCTCCGATCCCGGGACGCGGCCCGATGCCGGCGCAGCCAGGAGACGGAGGTGTTCTACGAGCTGGCCCGCACGCTGCCGCTGCCGCGCAGAGTCTGCACACACCTGGACAAAGCCGGCATCATGAGGGTGACGCTCAGCTTCCTGCGCATGCAGCAGCTCCTGGCAGCCGGTGAGAAGAGGCTGCTCACCCGGGTTTACCAGGAGCAAAGTCTCTTTTTAAAACGGCAACAAACGCGACAAAAGGAAATGTGCATGTAGAAATAAAAAGAGAAACCATAGAAGTTATAACACAAATTCACACCACCAACTTCAGAGTTTAACAACACACTCACACAAAGCTAAATGGGAACTAAACAACCCGACAAAATCTTCACCAAGTTTAAAACCTGCTGGAATTCAAAGAAAGAAATAATCATAATCATCCCCCCACATATTTTTGCTGAGGCGCAATCTTTCAGACAATGTTAAGGTTTAATTAATTCATTCTCTTTCATTCAACATTTACCAAAAAATGAAAACATTAAGTAGTAAATAGTTAGATGTATGTTTTCCTCATATGATATTAGATTCTAAATATGATACTACACTAAAAACTAACAATGCATAAAAATTATGTTTTCTGACTAATCAAATCCACTTTTTAAAGTAATACCGGAGAATTTGGCGCCCCCTACAGACGAGGGGCGTAACTCCACACGCCCTAAGAATTCATTTGTCACTAGCTTGGCGTTTGGTGGGTTTTTCAGGCCTGAGAATGAGCAAAATTACACTCACAGTGAGGCTCAACTGGTCTGAAGCACACAGCTTTTTTTAAGGTGTATAAACGTCTCAGCTGTTGGCTCTAGTAAGCATATAAATAACTCACCTCCTAAAGAGGGTGCTGTAATGGCTGCATCTTATTAGACAGCCAGAGGAAGCATTTTTATTTTGCTCTTTGTTGTTTGCGCCGGACTGCATGCTGCGTTTAATCTAATCTTACTCCAATAAATGATTAATCCTGGTGAGCTGATTCTGCTGTTGTCATGCAATTCAGAGGCTTTCTGTCTTTTAAAATAATCTGTGGGATAAACGGTGAGCAGCTCTAACCTGAAGGCAGAGATTAGGGCTGGTATGAGGGCTGAGAGGTAAACCGCTCCCTCCGCATGTGTGCTGTAATCTGAGCTCTGCTGCTCCATATTTTGGCAGCCACTTCCTTTGACTTCCTCCCTCTGAGACCACTGGGCCCCCCATTTCTATAAGGGGACCGACTTCAGTGTGGGGCCTCGTTCAGTTACAAACAAACAGTACAACACAGGTTTTGTTGTGTGCACAGTAGAAACATGGTGATTTAACCATGAAAATGTTAGTCAGAAAGGTAAAAAGGAAAGAAATATAAATTGTTTTATCAGAAAGTGTAGATAAATACCATAATACTGTTTCCAAATAAACAGAAGAAAATTTTGTATGATTTTTCCAAGTTTTTAAGGTCGTTCTGATTTTGATGTTTGCAGTGAGATTTAAAGGATCCAAAAGCTTTGTGCAGTAAAGCTTGTTTATGTAATAATCTGTGTTTTTCTTTGTAAAACAGAAGAAAAAGAAGAAGAAGAAGATGTGAAAAAGGGCAAAGAGGAGGGGGAGGAGGAGGATGAAGATCCGATGGATGCCTTCTATCCTCAGGCTCTGGCCGGCTTCATCATGGTGATGACCGAGGAGGGGGACATGATCTACCTCACCGAGAACGTCAACAAACACATCGGCGTCACACAGGTGCGAGCCAAATCTGTTTTAGGCTCAGTTTGTCTCTGGGTTTATCACAAAAACACAGCGGTTACTGTAAGCGCTCACAGGACAAAACGTGGTGTCCTGCTGTGTCCTCTCAAGTCCGATTTAATGATTAAATCCAGCTCTGATTACAGAGGTCAGCCAGAGCGTCCTCATTCACATTAAGTGAACACACAGATTTCATCCCACAAACAAGAGCTGCACACATTTTAATGGCTGGACTTGACTGGTGTTTTTCTGCTCACAGCTGGAGCTGCTGGGTCAGAGTGTCTACGACTTTGTCCATCCCTGTGACCAGGAGGAGCTCAGAGACCTGCTGAGTCCACGTCCAGGTCAGGAACTCACAGAACAGCCCAAACCTCCACTCCAAAACTACCGGCAGCTCTTTTCAGAAACGGTCATTTTCCTGCTAACAAAGACCTGAACTGGTCACTTTTCATGATTTCAGGTCTGAGCCGTAAATCTCAGGCCGGGCAGGTGAGCGAGAGGAACTTTTTCCTGAGGATGAAGAGCACTCTGACCAGCAAGGGGCGCACCGTCAACATAAAGTCTGCCGCCTGGAAGGTGAGCTATCGCACACGGAGACACACTGGTCTCAGCTCCACGCCGTTCAGGACGGCCTGGACTTCCTGTTTTCCTCTCAGGCCTTTGA